CTTCTAGAACATGGCGACACAGCCCGAAAAAACCCACAAAAAAACTAATTATAGCAATGTTCCTCTTGCTGGGGAGAAATTCTGGCAATGGCTCTGTTCCTAAAATTCCCTAGTCTCATCTCTCAGACATTGGTTGGTAGTCTGGATTACCCATGCATATGTTCCTTTACACATATGTTTATGCTTTTGGGGCCATGGTTTAATTTCTGTATTTAGTTGAAACTTGTGGAAACAGAGTTGAATTTGTGGTGCCATTGTACCTGAAGTGCCATTTTGCATTTCACATGCAGATGCGCATGGAGCATTGCAATTGTGCATCTCACATTTCTTTAAAATTCAGTCACACAGCATTACAATCCACTAATGGGCACCTGTTGCATAACCCTGTGAGTGTAAAGTTACACTCTCTCTCCCTTATGTAGGATCTCAGGTTTTAATGGGTTGGTTGCAAAACTCTTAAAGGAACAAGAAATGCAAGAGTTAATAAAATAATCAGCATTAAAACACTACACCATAAGGGTAGGTGAGAATCAATGTTCTACAAATCTTGTAAGGACTCACCAATCTTATGATTTATTAAGTAAGTGGAAACATATTGTAGAAGAGAGGAAAATGCTATATGTACCCTTCTATACTAATACTTAAGCTCTTTCATGAATAGATCAGCTCCTGCTGGTTCAAAAGCACAGTCATCCTGAAATATCAATAGAAGCTGCTTTTATATGCCTTTCAAAGACTGACCCCAATGGTAATTGTATCTTATTGCATCACTAGACAATGTGTGTGTATACACACATGCATATACATGCACACTGGCAACATCATATGGAATTAGTTATCATTAGAAGAAAAAAGAGCCATCTGTTTTTGACAAGCAAGTATTTTCATCATGTGGCTGCTTTCCAGTTCTTTCATTTTTAATTTTTTTAATGTTGTATTATTAATTAGTGTGAATGGCATTAACTCTCTGCCATATGCCTACCTGTGAATTCCTGATGTTCAGTGCAGAGAAACGAGTGAGAAGGAAACCATGGTGTTGACATTAGATGCTAGTTATTTGGTTCATGACAAACAATTTTTTTAAAAAAAGATAAGATGTACTTGCTGTAAACAGGGACAGAGGTTCTGTTTCCTTGTCTGAATCTGGGAAGAGCAATTTACTTCATGTCTACCTGAAACAATGGCCAAAATCTGACAGGTATCTTATGCAAATGTAACTCCCTGTTATATGAGTATAAGCACTTTAGAAGATATTACAGAAGGAGGCATCCTGTACCTCCTTCTGCAATGTCTCTGTGCCAGATATAGAAAGGTAGCCAGAGGCTCTGAAATTGGCCGTGGGATCTGTTCAACTCTTCTTACACACTTGAGAATGAAAAAGCAGTTTCTGCCCATGTACTAAGGGTGACAACTGCTGCTGATTCTCTTCTAAGTATCTGGATGATAGCTTGGTAGATCCCTGCAGCCAGTCAGTGGGTGGAGATGAAGTTGCACGTGGGGTTGTATGGCCACCTTTGTGCACCTGGAGAAGAAGGAGGAGGAGGAGGAGGAGGAGGAGGAGGAGGAGGAGGAGGAGGAGAAAAAACTGTAATGCCCAGGTGATCAGTATAGCTACTGTGGTACAAATGTAGGTTCCACTTGCAGTCATATTGAATTGTGGTTTTATGTTCCTGTACAGTGGACTCTAAACCTAAGAGCTTGCTCTTCTCTCAACCCATGCCCCTCTATTAATGCGAGAGACTCTATCATGCACTGTCCTCTCATCCTTCAGGATTAGATTCAAAGGCAAGAATTCTTTCAATGATCCATACACACACCCCTTGAAAAATAAGGTGGTCACACGCCTCACTAAATATTCCTGTTTGGCAAGCGCTGGAGTAAATGGCCCCTGGGTCCTTTCTCACCATATGATTCTATAATTCTATTATTTTATATCCCCACTTCCACACCCCTGACATGAGATGGACATTCAGCTCAGCATCTAATACTGTGGCATTTGCACTGAAAATTTATACCAGGTTCATCTTCCCAAGCTAAGTTGGGCATTTCTGCATATCACTACCTTTCCTTGTTCTACCTCAATGAGTGCTGGTAGAGAGTGAGAGTAGGCCTTCTTGTTTGTTCTTCTGGAGCATCTATCCTGCTTCTATAGTTTATGTCCATGAGTGTCCATTCAGAGGCAAAATCCAACATGTGTCATATTGTGGCTTAAAGTGATGGGTTTTTTTTGCCATCAAGTCAACTTTGACATATGGCGATCTTATGAATGAGAGACTTCCAAGACACCCTGTCATCAGCTGAATTGTTCATATCTTGCAAACTTAATTGAAAGAATCCACCTGTAGTGTGGTCTTCCTCTTTCCCTACTGCCTTCCACATTACCAAGGCATCTGAAGTTGCAGTACTGCTGACAGCATATATAGAAGCAGTGGCATCATTAGGTGCATGCGGAGGGTGTGGAGAGCACCAAGTGACACTCCAGAGAGGGTGTCACCCAGTGGGGTCATACACATGGTGTGGCTGCGGGACAAGTGAGGAAGGGCATCACATCTCTTCCATTTGGCCATCAATGCAGCTGCAGCCATGCTGGAGTCCAAATGGATCTCTAGGGGACTGGCACTGCCCCCTCTAGCAGTGGTGGCTGCTAGGAGGGGCAGCCCCTTCTGTCTGGGTTTTGGCATGGTTGCAGCCATGCCACAGCCCAAACAGACCCTTGGGGGCTAAGGCAGTCTGCACCCCCTGCTGCCCCCCCACACCAGGTGATACCAATCCCAGTACACAACTGTTTAAAAGTGTCCTGAAATAAGGTCCTGCACTGGATGCATGGCAATTCGGTCTTCTGGATATGCATACCTTTGTACCAAGTTCAGAAACTTCAGTTCTGAGTCTACTAAGACTCAAAACTGGAGTTTCCCAATTTGCTACAAGTGTATGCATCTCCAACGTCCCAAAATTCCAGGCATCCGGAACAAGACCTGATTTCAGGTAAATAATTGGCCACAAAGAACCCAAGAAAGTACCCTGGCATATAGTATAAAATACATTGTCCTCCCAACTACTGTCTTTTGATCATTCTGGAAAAGACCTTCTCTCTCTCCCACCACGCCTAAGAGATCTTCTTGTAGGAACAATGGAAAGGATTGGTGGGTGCTCCCGGACTTTGGTTCTCCCTTCCCAGAGAGGCTAGACTGGCATCCTTCTTTCCACAAGCAGTCAAAACTCTTTTTATGCCATTGGACCTTTGAGATTTTTATTTAAAAGGAAAGACAGGTTTTCTACAATCTGCTGGATTTTTATTTAATTTATGTTTTAACTGGTTTTAATTTTTGATAGTATAAAAGCTTTTAAACTTTTGCATGCTGTTAATTTTGCCAAGAAAACCCTGTGATAGGTTGACCTTAGGGCCTCCAGTCAGAAACAACTTGAAGGCACACAGCAACAACAATCTTTAACTATGGCTGCTGCCACACACTGCAGAATTAATGTAGTTTGAGACTGCTTTGGCTGTCATGGTTCCATCCTATAGAATCCTGGGATTTGTAGTTTGTTGTGGTTCCAGAGCTCTCTGACAAATATCTCACAAAACTACAATCCCAGGATTCCATAGCATTAAGCTATGGCAGGTAAAGCAGTGTCAAACTGTGTTAATTCTGCAGTGTAGATGCAGCCTATGTTTGTTCTAACTGTTAGAAGCCTCCTTGAGTCCTAAACTTACAAAAAGGTGGGATTTAAATAAAGATACTATTTCTTCTACTAATAATATGTAATCATTGTTAGACAGGGTAACTATTGGTTAGTTTTGAGAAATGTGGGAAATTACTGCTTGGAGGAGTGTCTCTTCTTGGTTGTACCTGCCCAAGAATTGATGTCTTTCGGAGCAACCTTCCTCTGTCTCCCACTGCTGGGACCAAGACATGGTAGGAGGACATGGGAGAGACTTCTTGGCTGTCACCCTCTACTGCTGAACATCATTCCCTTGGAGGTCCAACTTGCAACATCATTGATTTCTTTCAGGTGCCAAATCAAAACTTGGCTTTCCCCCCTGAAACCTCTGTGGACTAATTTATTCCAAGACAATGTGTACGTTGTTTTAAATTATTTTCATTTTAAACAGGTTTTAACAGTTGCTTTCAAAGCGATTTGAATTGTTCTTGTGTTCAATGCATTTTTATTTTGTTCAAATTATTTACGTTTTTAATCTGGAAACGTTTTAAATGATTGGTATTGTACACTTTGATAAAAAGAAGGCATGGTGTTGTGGTTTGAGCCTTGGACTATGATTCTGGGGGCCAGGGTTCAAATCCCTGCTGAGCCCTAAAACCCACTGGGTGACCTTGAGCAAGTCACACACTCTCAGCCTCAGAGGATGGCAATGGCAAACCCTCTCTGAAGAAATTTGCCAAGAACACCACATGATAGGCTTGCCTTAGGGTCGCCATAAGTCAGAAGTAACTTGAAGTCACAACAACAACAGAAGTGTAACAACAACAGCAACAATAATAGGTAGCTATCTTTAGTTGCCTCTGAAAAGGAAGAGTAAAGAATTACTGTTAGAAATTGTGACTATAATCTTACTTATATTGAGAATTCCAATTCTCTTTAAAAAGTTATGTTCTAAGGTTTGGGTATAGGCACCACCAAATCTGGATGTATGTAAACAGAAGACTAGTCTCTCTCTTGTTCAGTGCCTCTTTGTGCAAAGAGTTGTTCCCTCTTTGTCTGTCTCTATCTCTCATTCTCTCTCTCCTTATTTTTATGACTCCTTGCCAATTTCATCTGTGGCTGCTGTTCATCTCTTGTATAATTGCTTCTGAAAGACCCAGAGTAAACAGAAAGAAAGCCGCTTTGATAAACAGAGGCTGCAAAACAGCAATGCAGAACAATATTTGGGTGCAGAATGTAATTTTAAAGGTCAGCAAAGCTCCAGGCAAATGTTATAAGCAGAAAAATCCACCCTGATAAAAGGAAGAGTCTAGATCCTTTCATTCATTCTATTACTAAATTAGTTTAACAGCATGCCTTCAACTTTATCATTTCATCTTCCTTATCTTTCTGTAGGCAAACTCCCCTTCTTATATCTTTTTGATAAGTCCAGCATTTCTTTTTCTCTTTCTTTCATTAAAAAAAAAATGCATTTGGAGAATCTGGAAACAGACTCCGTAGTGCTCATTAAATTTACTTTTCATGTTTCTCCTTGTTGAGATCAGTCCTTGCCAGCAGATAAAGTTAGTGAAGGAAAAGTAAATCATCATGGAGAATTGTATCTGGCTAGGACTGTCCTCAATGAGCATCCCCTCAAAACTGAGAAAAGCTTAAAATTCCTCATTTCAGGGTGCCGTGGTTAAATGCCAATACCGCAGCTACAAGGTTGTGAGTTCGACCCCAGGGACTCCAAGGTCCACTCAGCCTTCCATCCATTTGTAGGTCAGTAAAATGAGTACCCACTTTGTTGGAGGCAATTGGTTTACAGATTGTAAACCACTTAGAGACTGCTTAGTTCACTATGAAGTGGTTTAAAAATGTAAAATGTTATTGCTTCTGCTATTATTTATATGCTGTTAGAATCACAGAACCAGAGTTGGAAGAGACCACAAGGGCCATTCAGTCCAACCCCCCTGCCTTGCAGAAACTCAAAATCAAAATAGTAGTAGTAGTAGTAGTAGTAGTAGTAGTAGTAGTGTACATTCAGGTTGTTTTTGGTTTATGGTAAACCTAAGATGAAATTACAGTATTCTCTGGGACAGTGTTTGTAACTTGCCCAAGGTCACCCAGTGGGTTTCCATGGCTGAGTTGGGATTCAAATTCTGGGTTCCAGGGTCTTAGGGGGGATGCAGACCAGGGCGTCCAGGACGCCCTGGTCCGGAGCACCGCGGGGCCATGGCAGCCGCACCGCGGCGCTCCTGTGGCGTCCCTGGAAGGAGCGCTAAATCAGCGCTCCTTCCTCAAGACAGCGAAAGTGCGCCCTAAACGCTTAGGGCGCACTTTCGCTGTCTTTTCCACTGCAGCGCATGTGGTCGCTGCGGCGGGAGGTTGCCTTGGAAGCGCTGGCCGTGCGGAGGGCCGGCAGCTTCCAGGGCAACCTCAGGAAGAGGAAGGGACACTGCGTGTGCGGCTGCCCCTCCTCTTCCGGGTCTCAGAGACGGCCCTATTAGCCGTCTGCCAATGCCTATAGTCTCTCAAACCACTACACCATGCTGTCTCTCTTGGACCCAAGGCAGCTTACAAAAGATACTTAAAAACAGCAATAACCACAATGAAATAATGCAGTTTTAAAACACAACTAAAACACCACAATTATAACATGTTAAAAATGTAAAATGCATTAAAATACTAAGTTTAAAAATGTAAAAGTATTAAAAGCATACCAAAACAAACACGCCAATAAGAAGCCTCCCTGGGTGCAATTACATATTAGAAGCCTGTTTGAAAAGAAAAGTTTTTGCCTGATGGTGAAAGAAGTGTATGGAGGAGGCCAGCCTAGCCTTTCATGGAAGCAAGTTCTAAAGGGTAGGAGCAGCCACTAAGAAGGGCCTCTCTCATGTCCTCACCAAACAACACTGTGATGGCAGCAGGACTGAGAGAAAGCCTTCCCCTGAAGATCTTAGGATTCTAGCAGGCTCATATGGGGAGACAGGTCTTTCAAGTTCTGGACGTAAGCCATAAAGGGCTGTTATGAACCTTCACATTGATGCCAACTTCTAGGGTTAACCCTAGAAGAGGATAACCCTAGAAGTTGGCGTCAATGTGAAGGTTCATAACAGCCCTTTATGGCAAAGATTTCTTCAGAAGAGGGTTACCATTGTCTTCCTCTAAGGCTGAGAGTGTGACTTGCCCAAGGCAAGGATAGTAATAGCATTTAACAACAGTATGTCCATGACTGAACAGGGATTTAAACTCTGGTCTCCCAGAATCCTAGTCCAACACTAGTTCTTTCCATTGGCTTCTCATATGAATTGATATGTACTGATACCACTATATTTATGTACACCCAGTACATAAATACACTTTTTACCAGTGTATAAAGGGCCACTCTAAGCCACTTTCCCAGCTGTTGATGGCCTTCTCATTCCAAACAATACCTACAGGATCCCTGTTTGATGAAGCTATTTTCAAAGGCATGCCCATTAAGAAAAATCCACTAGCCACTGTGGACCAACAATAACTATTTGCTTCCTTTGCCAATTCCAAAACTATCTGGCACTTGTTTTACCCATAATGCCATAGGTCCACTGGAATAAACATGCAGCAAACAAACAAACAAAAAAAAATCCATAGCAATGAAGAATTTTTAAAAGTAATCTTCAGACATGCGTTATTACCTTTTCTTCTAACTTCTAAAGCCATGAACTTTTTTCCCTGTTCGCCTGAAGGATAGCAATAGCATTTAACAATAGCATTTACATTTCTATACTGCTTTATACTGACCTAAGCAGTCTTTAAGTGGTTTACAACATATAAGCCAATTGTCCCCAACAAGCTGGATACTCATTTTACTAATTTATGAAAGGATGGAAGGCTGAGTCAACCTGGAGCCCTGTGGGATTGAATTCACAATATTGTGACTGCAGTACCAGCATTTACCTGCGGCACCACTAGGGCTCCTTCAATGAATGAATGAATGAAGCAACAAATATGCACATGTGCAAACCACTATAATTTCTATTTTAAGAACACATCAAAGATGGAATCCTGTTGCTGTTTTCTGCTTGCGTACATTCCCCTATGGAAGTGTTTGGATAGTCTTTGTCTAATGCAAACAACCTGCGTTCACTTTAAGGCTGCAGCAGTGGAAGTGCACTTGCTGTCTGTGCCATCACACATCCAGAAGTGGATTGTACAACTTCCATACATTGCATGTTTCTGCACATTCCCTTGTGCCTTCAGTTGCACATTCCTTTGGTGCAGTTGTGAAGCATTCCCACTCAACAGCAGCACCATGTTTGCATAGCACAATTAATGAGTAACTCTGTAAGGAGAGATTCCAGCTATTCACTCCCACTGTAAGATCTCAGCCACTTATCTCACCTCTTGGTGGGGCAGCTGTGTCTAGAATTCAGCTGCCTGAGTTATGTTTATTAATTTTGTTCAGAAACACCCATTAAATTTCCAACAAAGCCACAAACTGAGCATTAGCTGCCCTGCTTTTCCTTTCTGTGCATGTGTATGGTTGTTGAGTGACTTTTTTTTTTTTTTTTTTTGCTCTGACACAGAATTAGATATTCCTTCCCCCTAAGATTTCATTAATCATGTCAGACCTCCGGTTAAATTTAATTTAAGTGCAAGTCTGGAGAAATTCATTTTGCGGATATTATCATTTAGCCAGACTGGCTCCAAGTTTAATACCACCTGTAGCGGAAACCCACAGAGCAAAACACCACTAGGCAATAGTGATTGCTTTTCTCATTTCGAAGAAGGGATTAACCATCAACCAATTATTTAGTTCCGAGAACATTTCTCCATCCTCACTGTCCCCTTCGCCTGCTGGCGCTGTGTGTTATCTGCCTGAGAGAAAAATAAGGCAAAAAAGTCTACCCATATTCCCCATCTCTATTCCATTTTTACAGTCAATCTCAGGGTAGACAAAGAATTTTAAACAGTTTCTGTATATATGCTGATCAAAGGTATATCTACACTATAGAAATAATGCAGTTTGACCCCACATTAAGTGCTGTAACTCCATTTTAGGGGATCCTGAGATTTCTAGTTTTACAACATCTTTAGCCTTCTCTGCCAGAGTGCTGGTGCATCACAAAACTATAAATTCCAGGATTCTGTAGGATGGAACCAGGGCAGTTAAACTTTCTATTTCTACAGTGTAAATACATTCAAAATCTGTCAACTTATCAGATCATTCTTGTAAATGATAAGCTATTTTAGGATTTTTTGTGAGTTTTTTCGGGCTGTGTGGCCATGTTCTAGAAGAGTTTCTTTCTGACGTTTCGCCAGCATCTGTGGCTAGCATCTTCAGAGAAAACTATTTTAGGATTATTCAGATGGTGAAAATAATCACAGTAAAATGTGAGTTGAATATGTGCTGTTCACATGAATTTTGAATGCATCTGGTTAAGTTTTTTTTTTGGGGGGGGAGGGCTGCCAAAAACTCAACAAAACCCAGAATAATTGATCTCATGGATTTTCCCCTGGGTTTTCCTGAAAGATTTGCATTGTTGGCTTTGTGAATAACTGGATAGACCCAGAATAAACCAGGATAAAACTCTGCATGTCTTGAATGTGTTTCAAATACATCTGCATCATCGACTCCATCTTTATGCACAGTACTTACTCGTATGAGCAACAGAACTCACAGAGATGTGC